ACTCGTTAACCTTGGTATCACAAATTTCCTTGAGCTCACTGCGTTTCAGCCACGTTTTCAGGACTGTGTTACATACCCCTCAGCAGAGTTCAGCAGGCTCTAGACTCACCCTGCAGAAACCCAGACAGCTTCGACACAAACAGAAAACGCAATTCAACGTGGATTTTAAAAGTTAAGCGCCAACGCGCTGCAGCTTGGCTCTGTTTCTTCATTTAAATCAGGGCCCTCATCAGCTTCATACTTTGACCAAGAGCTATGAGCGTGCTTTGCCACAGAGGTGCTGAGAGGCTGCAAAGGGAGGCGAAACGCAAGCGCCAGAGCAGCGGGAGAGCCGGGATGCCCACGCACGCAGCTGCATCCCCAGGATGCCCACGCACGCAGCTGCATCCCCAGCAGCACCAAGGGGACACAGAGGCACCCCAGGCTCCGTGCCCCGGCTCGGGGTACCTGTGGCCGGCTCGTAGACGTCCTCGCTGTGCCCGCCGTCGAGGGGCTGGACGCGGGCGCCGTCGCGGTAGTTGAGGGGCTGCTGGAAGACGAAGGTGCCTGTGGTGCTCATGGCGAGGCTGGGCAGGAGGGAGCGGAGCAGCGGCTGGAGCCTGGACAGSGTCAGCATCGACYGGGGCAGCGCTGCTGGCCGAGACRGGGGGTCTGCRYGGGGAGCCCTGGGGCCCACGGCAGACCCCACGGCAGGGCGCTCCCCCTCGCGCGGAGGGTCCCACCATCCCGGGGGGGAACAAGCCCAGGGACCAACAGGGAGGGGACCGCGCACCCTGGCACCGGGACACCTCCTAGCCCCGCGTCAGGGACGCGCGACACCCCGGGGGACCCCACAGCCCMGCGAGGGGATACAGCAACTCCAGAGAGACCCCGAAGTGCCGCGGGGGGCACGCAACACCCCACGGGAGACCCCTCTGCCCCACGGGAGGATGCACCACCCCCAGGGGGACCCCAAATCCCACGAGGGGGACACGACCCTCGGAAGGAACCCCCCCCCCCAACCCACGGCGACACGCAGCAAGCGCGGGGGACAGCGCGGAGCCCCACGGGGACACGCGGCGCCCCCGGCACGGAGCCCTCACCGCTCCGCGGCGCCGCGAGCATGCGCAGTGCGGCGCGCGCCCCTCCGCCCGAGGGCGGGAAGGTGGGAGGGCTGCGGCCGCCATCTTGGGGGGCGGCTCCTCTGCCCGCCGCGGGCGCSTGTGGCGGAGACTGGTGCGGCTCGTCCCTGCCCAGGCCTAGCTTGTCCTTGCCCAGGCCTAGCTCGAGGCCCAAGGGCGGCCAGCGATGCTCGCCCAGCTTTGCAGCAACGTGAGCACCAGGCAGAGCCCCACGGCTGCAGAGTGCAGTGCCCCACAGCCTGCGCATCTCCRCACGCCCTCCAGGCTCACTCAGCATTACCACTGCACAAGGATGAGGAGCACTCAAAGCTTGGCTTCATAGGATGAAGGAAAAAAAAGATAGCCGCCATCATGTTAAGGCAGAGCAGAACAGGATGACACAGACACATCTTCCTACTTCAGGGCACAAACCGTTCACTTCAGGAAAAGTCACTGGAGACTTCAAGGGTGKTGGCAGTGGCAAGGCCTCAAGGTGGGAGAAAACCGTGAGTGCCTTTTGCTGAAGCAAGGACTGCGACTTCACCTCTGCTTGGCTTCTCAGCCTGGCCCATCCATGATGCAGCTCCTTCTATCCAAGAAACAAAGCTGTTTTGAAAGCTTTTTCACCATAGACAAATTATTTCATAACTATGTATGACATTGCTAATACATTCCCCTGTACAACCTACTGGTAGCTACTACCAGGGATAGGACCTGAGATTACACTGCAATTTATGAAAAGTTTAAAATGGACACAAACAGGTCTAAAGCAGTATGATGCAAGATGAGTAAGGGAGCACTGTGTGCAGGGAACAGCAACACACTTYGCATTAACCAGCCCACAGCAGTCAAAGCTCTTCAGAGAGGTGACACCTTGATATGTACATACATATTTTATAGTTATCCATGAAACTTCTCTTCCTCCAAACTACAATCTTCATGTAGTCATAAGCTGTTTTTCTTAGGAGTTGTAGATTCTTAGAACTCAAATCTTTAATGGCCTAGGTTAGGAAAACATTATAACTGTTATAATGATTAACCACCACCAGGAAATGATTGTATCAAGCTCAGAGGTGACAAGAGAAAGCAAGCAGAATCTAGCAACAGATTGGTAATTTTCAGATGACCTTTGGACATGCAAATGCTTCCCCCCAAGCAACAGAAGTGTGATGCAATAGGTGATTTCAGAAGACACAGCAGATTTGCTGAGGGCAGAGTCTGTGCGACAGCATCAGGCAAGTTTACTATAGGACACATTTCCCAATTCATAAAGGTGCAGTTTGACATCACTCCTAATCAGATTTGGCTGCTACAGTTCCCCACCCATCCTGTTGAATGTGACAACCATATGCTGCTAAATAACCAATTTATCAAAGCCAGTGCATAAAAGAGAGGCTGGAGTGTTTCTGGCTAGCTAGCTTTGCCACAGCACCACTYTGAGCTAGCAGTGCCTAGCAAGGCAAACAGGAATTGTGTCACCAGGGTTGTTCCTTGTGGGAGTTCAGCCACACCAGACAAGATGTCTGGAATGTCAAAAATGCAGCCTTAGAGCCTGGTCTTCTCATGCTAGGTAGCATCAGGGTACAACCTACACACTCCTTAACCTGTCTGATACCCCTTTTTAAAGTGTATAATGCCACCTCAAGATCTGGCACCCACAGATGATTTATCTAAGTGCACCTGTCAGAATGTCCTATGCTTGAGTATTACCCTAATATTTAGTATTAGGGGGACAAATGCATGTACACTACACTGCCAAAGGATTGTTCAGATTTATTCCCTTGCCATGCATCTAGTTAAACACTCCTAGAAAGAGGTACCAGACTATAAATTTGTGGTCACAGAAGCAGGGAAGCATCAGTCCCTAGGACCACTGCAAAACTCCAGAGCCACTCCAGCCTTACTTCAGTGGGGCACCAAGATTTATTCTCCCCTTTCCAAGCAGAGGAGGGCTCTGTCCAACAAAACTGAACAGGTAATTATTTGACAAAATAGGACACAACACAGGGAACTTCCTAGAAATACCTTAGCATGTTGAAGTTAAATGTAAAAGCAGCAAACGCAACCGGAACCTCATAACATCGAAGGGCAGCAAGGCGCAGGGGCTGGTTCCCATACCTCTAGTCACCTGAGCCAACAAAAAGCCTCATCCTCAACACTGCAAGCTGCTTTTATAAAAGCAACTACACCTACTTGCCTAGCTCCATAGGACCCAGTGCTCTCGCCAGTGCAGCTAAGGCATGAGGGACAAGCCAGTATTTCCCAATTTCTAAATTACTTGGTAGTTTTATATTCTTACCAAGCTGACCTTCATGAGACAGGCTTAGTCAGCTGTGCCCTCTTTTAAATCAAGATAGTCCTACTGGTGGCACAATTAGGAGACATCTCAATCAACATGCCCATACCATTTATTTCTCAGATATATCAGAAACAAAAGGGCAAGTTATCTTCCGAGAACTCTGCGGATGAGCAAACAGCTGCTGGCAGAATACTCCATATGCAAGACATGCCCAAGACTGTGGCCAGTGTTGCAAAGGCTGTTTCTGCACACAYGAGAAGCCTCCTGTAGAATCCAATCTTGTTATTCCCTGCAGACAGTCTGGTGCAGCTGACAGAGCTGTGCTGGAGGCTGCAGCCACGGCTTTAGGAGAACTTCCCTGCCTGGGGTGGTGGGCCAAGGAAGCCTCCTGCTTGCTTAGTAGCAGCCCGGGAAGGAGCAAGGCCAAGCATCTTCTGGATGTTCTGCAACAAGGACAAGAGAACAGGACAATGTCACGCCATGACAAATGACCCAAAAGAGAAGAAATCCCCATTCTGCTTACAAATGCAGTTTTCCTGCTAGCTTCAACAGATACTGAGCCTTACCAGTGTGCCTAATACACAGTAGGGCTCTTCCCAGAGAGGGAAGGAAAAAAACAAAATTGCAGAGCCAAAGAAGTATCTATAATGGCAACAAATAAAGCTGGGCTCATTCTCCTCCAGTTTCTTCCCTCTCAAAACAAAACCTCAAAACTTCCTGCAGCTAAATTAACATTTCAACTGAAGATGGTGACCTGATCCTTTTCTACCTTGCTGCACAAGTAGTTGGTTAGATACACACTAGTCTTGTGACATAGATGGGTTTAAATCCACCTATAGCAGTTAACTCTGCACTTCAGCTGCAATGCACGTACAAGAAGAGGCTCCGAATATTTGTTTGCAGGCTCTAACAAAGCAGCTTTTGGATTTCAGAAGTTCCAGAAACCACCATATCACTTTGAGGCTCTGCGAACCAGCAAGGAAGGCTCTCACAAAATGCAGTCGGGAACTGGGTCAGAGAAAGTGCCAAATTCAAGTCAGAAGTTTAGACAATTAGCAAGCACTAATGATACAAACAGGATTGCTAGAGATGTGCAGCATAGACATACATATGTAGCAAAACAAAAACGACTATTTAAGTGACCTCCCCTGCATTCTCATATGTTAGAAAAGTCACACCCGAGCTGAGTGTTTCAGCAGAAAGTGACAAAAAATGAAGTAGCAGAATTAAGGAAGTAGCTATAAATCTCACAGCAGAATATTTTAAAATTCAAAACATACTGGAGTCTTGCAAACTTAAAAGGAGTTTCATAATAGTGTATCTACAAAAAGAGCTACTCATCCTTCAGGCTGCATCCTTCACTGGAAATAACTAGAGCCCTCCATGCTACTTATGCAGTTCTGGCAAAAGATGGAATCCAATGCAGAGGAAGAAAATGACCATGCAGCCCTGACTGCCCAGGAGAAGTGTGTGTAGATCTCTTCAAACTCCAATGACAAAAAAAGAATCATTTTGGGCACAGATTATGGAAAAGAAGTTTTTAGCCCACCTTGAAGGCTCCAGCCACCTGCTAGTCTGTGCAGCAGCACCACGTTGTGCCTCAGCAGTCCCATGTGGGCTGGGAAGATGCATTTAAGACTTGCCTAGAAGCCAGGCTCTTAACTCAGGGGCTGCACCACACAGATACAGCTCAATTGTATCCTGGCGGTGGAAGGAGTCCAGCCACATTTGTATGGTACTGCTCTTTAAGCCAGACAGACAAAAATTGAGCTCTACAAAGCCATTCTGAGCATCTATCCACAGCAATTACATCTGTGGCCTGCATAAGCCAACAAAGGCAGTGGTAACTGAAGGCATGAAGGGCAGCATTTTACCTCGTGTGTTTCCCCTTCTCAAAGTTTAGCCAAAAAAACAGGCAGAATGGAGGAAGTGAGTACATGGATTCAGCACCAGAGGGTGCTGCAGAGTCAGAGCCAGCAGGACTTGGATTCTACCACAGGAGTCAGCACAAAGCTAGAGCAGAGATACCAGTAGAGCAGCCATGGGATCAAAGAGCACACACTGCACCCTGCCCAGTCCTGTATGCAATCCTACTCTACCAGCTTGTGAGGGATGACACCTGGATTCCCACTTGGATTCAAGCCACCCCCACCAACATTTTATCCTTCCACACTGTCCCCTCTTGGCTAGGGAGGGCAGCCAGCCTCATGCACGAGCT